CCCTTCAAAACAAACGCACCACTTAACTCAAAAATAACTTTCCAAAATTAACTTACTACCATCTTTGACTCCTAAACGCGTTCCCCTTTACTCGTTTTGCCCTTTTTGTCAACACCGCCACCCTTTACTATTAATTATAGACTTTGAACCAATCCCCATTTTCAAACTAAGGAGAAAAAATAAAATAAAATTTTAAAGAAAGAAGAAAACCCAATCAGTTTGACCTCAATTTTTGCCAAAAATCATGGAAGTACCAAATTGCAAATTAATTAGAAATAATCTAATTTTAGATTTGTAATATAAGAATGTTGATACTAACAACTTGTTAATTTGAGTGGAAGAAATTCAACCTCTTTAAGTAGAATATTAAGTTCAAGTTTTCTGAATAAAGAAACAAATATTAAAAAAAATTTATGAAGTCCAACGTAATTTGATTATAAATTAATTGAAAACTAATATGATTATCAAATACTAAAATGTTAATACAAAAAAAAATATAAAAACGTTGATATTTCTAATCACTTCAATTAGGTGAAAAAAGCCACCTCCAAAACACAAATAGTCAAGGATTTGAACTCTTGAGTTTATCTAATTTCTCTCTCCCTTTCCTATAGAAAATATAATAAGTTCTTCTCACAGCCAGTTTGAATTTCTAGCTTTATAATTGAGTAAATACGAATATTCTCCACCGACATATGCATGGTTTTCACTTTATATGTGCTTTGCTTAATTGGTTACCCTTTTCCTAGAGAAAAAAAAAAAATTCAAAAAGAAGCATGAATCATTAATGTAAGTTTATTAGATTCCATTGCTGAACATAGTAATGCTCATGTGTCATGGGTAATAAATTATAATAATTAAACCTCAAGACCTATATAGTAAGCAAAATAGTACAAACTAAATAGAATAATTTAAGAATTAATTGAGTTATATTTAAAAATCCCTCTATTAATTTAGGAAAATGATATGTGCAACACCCGGGTGTGCACACTCCCCTTTGAAAAAAAAAAAATGCCCATCACCTACCCGGTCAAATTTTTTTTTTTTATATGGGGGTGCACACCCGGGTATTGGATTCGGGTGTGCACCAATCAGGGTCCATTAATTTAATATAGTTGTATTATAATGTGTTGGATGATGAAATATATGAATCATAATTGAAATCTATAACTGTATATATAAAACATAAATATACCATATATACTTTGCTTTAATTTCGGTTCCTACTTTTCTTTTTTAGCAATAATAAGCAGTAAAAATTCAGATTGAAGGAGAATTTCAACTTTAAATTCATGCATGCAAAAAAAAAGAAAGAAAAGAAAGTGGTAACTAGAATCAATGCAATGCAATTGTCAATTTCAAAGTAGTTCAAATATCAATCATAATTCCACACACATGAAGCTTGATGCATAAAATTAAATAAGCAAGAATGTGCTCACTTTCAGTGGAGCCAGTCCCGTGGTCCATAAGTTTCACACAAAAATATCTACGAGAAAAGCCTGAAAAACATAATTGAAATATCAAATCTTCATATGTAAATGCTTGATCTCATATCAAGCTGTGAACAGCCTTTTTTTCTTTTTTTTTTTTAATCATGAATCACAAGGAATGGTAAGTTGAGGGGAAAAGAAAAAAAAATGAAATGTTAATTAGCTTCAAAGCAAATGTTGATCTTATACTTTATGGTCTAATAAAAGTTGCTATAATATCATCATTTCTCATAATTAGCTTAATTTCACTTTTTTTGTAATTAGAAGTCAAGTTAACTTTAATGAATGGTGACCAAAATTTAACATATAAGCATTTTCTTCATCTAAAATGTTTTTTTTTTTTTCCTTTACTTAAAATTAAATTTTGGATAATGAAATACTTATGTAACCATCAACATTGTGTTTGGTCTGGATGGGAAAATAAATCCATGAAAGATAACTACAAGCTTCCTTCCTAATTAAAACATTTCCATTTTCATTTTTTTTCCTCTATAAATCTCTCTATTTTTTTTTGTTTTTTTAATTAGTTGCACAATAAGAGAGAATACAATAAATCTTTAATATACCTATGAAAGTTAGAACCTCTAGCTTTTAAAGTGAAGGAAATTACAATAATTAAGAAAGTTTACTTCATTAACCCTTCTTTGAACACATAGAGGGTAGTGTAAGTGATAATAACATATCCTTAAACTTTCCAATGAAGTAAGTCTGTAAGTGGGCACAGTCCATGATTAAATATATATTGCTAACAGCTAGCAAGTTCGTTAATCATCAAATGGTGAGGCGCTTACTAAAAACATATTGAGAGTAGGAGTGTGAATCAAGGTTACCTATTTTATAATGGATCAAATTTATGATAGGTTACGTTGTCATGTGTGTGTGTATATATATATATATATATATAAAAGAATATGCATGATTTATCATAAGAATTGCCTCTCCACACCCATAATCTCAGTCTTAAACAGTATTGATTTCTTGTGCTTTTGATTGGATTTTTGCCATCAACTTTGTCGGTGCATTAACTCACATCATTAAAGTAAGAGAATGGAATCTACCATCCCCCATGCATGGTGGCGCATATGGATGAGCTAGCAGTGGAGCACCTGGCATCTCATGTCCCCCCAAATGTTCATTTGTCTCTTCTGTTTTCAAAGGGTTTCATTCAATAGTTTATATTCTGTTTTCATAGTATATGTTCATAATACTTTAGGTGTGGTTGTGGCTTTTCAAAAAAAATTTTAGGTGTGGTTGGAAAAGTTTCCGCAACAAGGGATATTTTGTTGAAAGTGGAGCTCAATTAAATGGGGAAATGATTTTCAGAAAATATCAACAACATGGATACTCCTTGTTGCTGAAAGTGGAGCAACTTTTTAGGGAAAAAAATATGCTGTGTAACTTTCAGCGACGTAAGTCTTGTTGTTGATAGCAACAAAGGATCCCATGTTACTGATATATTGTTGCTGAAAACTTGAATTTTAGTAGTGAACCTCCAATACTTCATTGACAAATGGTGAGAATTGAAATTTTAAATTAAATGTATCAAATGTAAGTACTAAGTTGAATGAAAGAGTTTTCATAAAAGCAAGCATTATTCATATTGTGTAGTCCATCATTAAATTTTTTTTTTAATTTTTTGATATAATGAGCAATGCTTAGACATTAATTAATTTAAAGGCTCTGGGTCACATACATCTAGTAAATCATTCTTAAGACTTTCATGAACCAATTCCAAAGGTTCTTTCAAGAAATGAAAACATTTCTCTAAATGATAAAATCCCAAAGCCATATACTTGGCACAATAATTTGCTTCCCTATAAATGTGATGTAATTCACAATGCCATTATTTTTTTATTTTAGCAGTACATGTATTCATATTTGCATGGTACGTATGATGCGTCTTGAGAAAGGAAATCAACAACAAATGTGTATAGTTAATGTTAATCTGCAAAAACTTAGTAATTATTTCACATGGGCTAGTGGCCCTCAACATCATACAAATTTAAAACAGAAAATGACTTAGAATGCCAGAAAATGAGGTTGAATTCACACGTTATGCCTAATTTTGAAACTACAAAGACTGTCTCATTAGCATCTCAATCAATAGTCCCAATACTTATAGTACATAAATATATATTCAGTAGAGCAGGAACATGCCGTTAAGATGACTCCACATGCCACATGCGACCCCCATGTGACTCAGTTCAATCATTTATATCTTCCTTTCAAAAAAAAAAATTTTTGTTTTTGACAAAGCTGTTTGCAGAGGTACAAGGAACTTGTTTGCTTGATCTTAAGCACTTCTTGCAGTAAAAGAAATAGATTGTACTCCTATATGTTGATTTTCATGTTCGGTATGTCGAAATTCCCAAATTGTCTGGATTCATGCTGTAGAGAAGACTTTCACACTGTTTTTTGATTTAGTTATGGATATGTTATATTTTCGGTTATTATCCTAATTTAAATTAATTGGGTTTTAGCGTATGAGGCTGCATATGGCTGAAATTATGTATACTACACGCAAAAGAAAAGGGAGAAAAACCTTACTTTTCCCTAGTAGGAATGGTACATTTATTTTTAATAGATTTCCACCTCGTTCCATTACATAAACCTTAAATACTATAATGCCATACGCATCTGTCTAGTTTCAAATGCTGCTGCCATCCACAGTAGTGATAGCATTATTTTAATTTCAATCCATTACTCATACCTTGGTACGTCAGTAACACACATTGGCTGATGGGGTGGGTTTACAAACCTTGTTTGGCAGGGGATCCCACATCGCTCCTCCTTCACCACAATGACCACCGCTGATGCAATTGTTCAGGCTTGGATCAGCATATGCTGTCATGGCAGCAACAATTGCCGCTTGTCCTGCAACCTTTTCCCTTTCAGCAACTGCCTTCAAACGGTGCCTCTCAGCTCTTGATCCGATAACCTGCCCCAGGATTGATGCCCCAATGGTCAATGCCATTGCTGTTTTTGGCATCACGACAGATTTCCTAAGCATTGCTATGAAGGGAACGGCTGCGTGCACTGCCGCAAACCATGATAATGAAAACTTCTTTGTGTGCTCTTTCCAAACACCCAAAGGAATATTTACTGCCATGCCTAAAAGAGCAATGACAAGCATCTTTGCAGGTAGTGGCTGAGGACGTAGGCCTTTAACAAGGGCAGTTCGAGCTAGGGCTGCCCTTGCAGCAACTACTGCTGGTGGGCATCTAAGCTTCAATCCAGCTGGTGGCTGAAAGGCTGTTGCCACAAGAGGAAGGACACGACTTACAGCTCTATAAGACTTAGCAATAGGGCAATTCCCTGCTTCTAACCACTCCTTTCCAAATGCCTCATGCGTTGATGAATTTCCCTTCTAAAAAATAGAGATAGAAAGAAGTGTCAGTAGAATTTCCAGCAGTTAACTTGCACTGGCTTGTTACCATTTGCAAGGAATATACATCATACATGAATGAAATTCAAAAGGAAAAAGAAAAAGGAAAAGAAAGAAGGATACATTAGTTACACTATAACCCACATTAATTTGGATCAAAGGCTAGTCAGAGGCCTACAGTGAAATACAATCTTAGGCAATTCTTTCCTTTTATTTTCTCCATTTTCTTTACTATTCCTTTATCAAATCACTTCTCATGAAAAAAGCAACGAGTCTGATCGCTAGAAGAAAGTGTTGTGCACCTGAGATGAGGAATCTTGCTTGTTAGATGGATTGGATTTCTTTTTCTGGTTCTTCTGGTTCTTCCAGTTGTCAAATGGACCAAAGCTGAATGGTCCCCCCAGACCAAAAGTTGACAGACTAATGGTTGCTGTTTTTGCCAAGGGATTAAACTGCGGTGTTGGCTCTGGTACTGGGCTTCTACAATGAAAATCAGACTCCTCTGAGAGAGGCACAATGCCATCCTTCCCATGAAAAAGCTTAAATGCCATATCAAAATTTGGACCATCTTCAAATATTGGACCTCTAGCTCCACGTACCTGCAGAGGAATAAAAGGAAGGAATTAGCTTCAGGTGCAAAGCTGGTTTAATAGTTAACACATTTATATGTAATGATTTAAGTACCAAGTACAAGCAGCCACAAACTGTATAGGCAAAAAGGTATGTGGACAAAAAGGAACAATGACTTACAGGAAAAGGGAAATTCACTGATGAGAATGAAAAGTTAGTGGGTTTGTTGATGTTCCTCAGAAATGGACACCTCTGAATATCTTTCTCATCAAAAGAGCAGTCAGATGTGTCCTCTTTAATTCCCTTAAACCAAAAGTCCATATTTCCCTGTTTCAAAGGCAAATTCCTCCAACCAAGATAAGTTTTAGGAAAAACTAGAGAACTAACAATCAATGACAAAATAGCATTCTCAGAGCTCATTTATCAAACCCATCAGACCACCATGCACATACAGATGCTATCATAAAAAAAACACAATTTCAGTTGATTCACCTAGCATACCAATAGAGAACAAGCCTTAAATCATTCAGTGAATCAATGTTACATCTTTCAGCAGAGATACAAATCAACTCCATGATCAATTAACATCAAGTTATTACAATTCATAGATCTAAACAATACAATTCAAATTCTTGATTCTGAAATTACATAAGTTTATGGTAATTGGTAAATTATGAAACAGCGCAACGAAAGAAATGAGAGCTATGAATATCAAATTCAAATTCAAAAGATTATTATCAATATCCATCCAATTATTCCCGTTTCAAGCCTTCAACTTATTACATCAAAATCAAAGGGAAAAATAATAATAAATAAATAAACAAAGTCGACGTCATTTGAGTCTACGGAAGAATCTCAGAATCATGAAATATAGACAGCAAACCCTAAAATTGAATTCAATCTGGAGCGAATTAAAGACAAAAACGTAAGAAATGAGGGTAAGAGCCATGTCTAGAACGAAACAGAAGGGTTTACCGTCGATGACAGGTGAGGAATTACCTGAGTTGAGGATGTGCGTAGTCGCCGGAATATTCCAACTTGAAACTCTGAGAGCGGCGAAGAGGAGACGTGTGGTGTCCACGGAGCGCGATGGTTAAGGTTCAGCGTGTGAGCCTATGAGGGTAGGTAGACCGGCTCAGCCGGTTACTTGACACGTGGCAGGACCTGGGTCTCAGGTTTCGGTTAAAACTTTCAACAACAACCGGCCCAACAAGATACTGAAAGAATGCATGTGGGCCGCTTGCTGAGGCTTGTGCTGCGGCAATTGGTTGTTTACAATTTCTATTAAGCTCTAGAATTGAATTAACGAAGGAAATGATTTTG